AGCTGCTAACTTTGTGGTAATTTGATATTCAGCAAAATAACACTAATGCATATGTGAAGGGAGTTTATGTACACAGGGTGGATTTGCTTTGAAAGGAGACTAACAAACACACACCCACAGCTAAATTCCAGAATTGTGCCAAGCCTGAGTCAAAGCCCTGACTATGGTGCACCTATCACCATTACTCAGTCCCAGCCTCACCATGATCCAAACAGCAGGTAGGAAGAGATCGCTCTGGTTTCCTCCCCTGAAGTGACACACTTAAGATCTGGGGAAAGTGAACCACAATATAAACCACACTGGGTAGGGAGAACTTACTTTCTGGGCTCATAGCTAGTGTGGGACAGTTGATATTTATAACAAGACTGAGATGATAGTGGCACTAAGGTCAGTCAGAATTCCTACCTACCCTCTAGTGCCAAACATCATTACTTGGCCAAACACAACTTTAACCCCTAAGGTACTGAACTTGCAAAGCTGAATGGACACTGAATTATTGTTCTTTTGTTTTTTTAAAATTATCATTCTTTAGAAGAGCCTTTTGAAAGGAGGAAGGAAGGGAAGACAGGTGAAGGAGACAAAAAAGGGAGGATTTTATTCAGTAAATATTTAAGGTGCCCATTATATGCACAGTCCTGTTCTAGGCTCCAGAAATACAGCAGTGAATAAAGCACACAAAATCCCATGCACTCTAGAATATAGACAAAATTAATAAAACAAAAACTTAAGAAATATATAGTATGTGGTGCTAGTAAAGCAAGGGAGGAGTTGGAAGAGATAATGGTGTCCAATTTTAAATAGAAGGGTCAGAGAAGACTCCCTTAGAAGGTGACATTTGGACATACCCCTGAAGGTGCTGAGAAGTAAACTATGAGGATATCTGAGCAAATCCTGTTCCAGACAGAGGAAGTGCAAGTGCAAAGATCTTGAGGCAGGAGTGGGCCTGGCCTTTCTGAGAAATAATAAGATGACCAGTGTGGCTGAAGGGGATAAAGGAAGGAGGAAAGGAGAAAATAATGTGTTCAGAGAGTTCAAGGGCATATGGGTTACTTTGACTCTGACTTCAAGAGCTGGAATTACAAGCATGAGCCACCAAGGGTTCTAAATAGAGGAATGACATAATCAGTCTTGGGTTTTCAAAGGACTGCTCTGGCAGTTCTGTTGAGAATAGGCCATAGGAGGGTAAAGGTGGAAACTGGGAGATGGGTTAGGAAACTGTGGTAGTGGTCCAGGTGAGAGATGAGGTTTGCTCAGACCAAGGTAATGAAGGTGAAGAGAAGTGATTGGATTCTGATGTCTTTTGAAGATAGAGCCAACAGCATTTGCTCTGACTGGATGTACACTGTGAAAGAAAACAAAGCCACGAATAATGTCAAGGTTTTTCGCCTGAGCAACTTGAAGTTACAATTGACATTTGCTACTATAAGGAAGACTAGGGGAGCTGGTTTGGAGAGGGATTGGGGGTGAAGTTGGGATGTATTAGGTTTGAGAAGCCTATTAGGTATTCAGCGATGCCACTGACTAGGCAGTTAGATGTTTTTATGTAGCGTTTAGGGAAGGATTAGGGCTGGAGACATGAATCCAGTATCCAGAACACGAGACCGGATGATATCAAAAAGGAAGTGAGTGTAGATAGAAAAGTCTGAGGGTAAATCTTGGGGCACACTAAGGTTAAGGTATCAGGGAGAGGAAGAAGAACCAGCAAAAGAGACTGAGAAAAATAGCCCATGAAGATGGCGAGAAACCAAGGATGTGGTGTCCTGGAAGCCAAGGAAAGAAAGTATTTCAAGGACAAGAGAATGATCAACATGGTCAAATGCTGCTAATAGGTTGAGCTGAGGCTGAGAAATGGCCTTGGATTTAGCAACATGTCATTGGAAATCTTGACAAGTGGAGTGATGGAGATGAAAGTATAATTCAAGAGAGATTGGGAAGGCTGAGAGTGGTAACTCACGCTTGTAATCCCAGCACATTGGGAGGCCAAGGCAGTGGGATTGCGTGAGCCCGGGAGTTCAAGACCTGCCTAGGCAACATAGTGAGACCATTTCTGCAAATAAAAAAAAATTTTTAATTAGCCAGGCATGGTGATGCATGCCTGTAGTCTCAGCTACTTGGGAGGTTGAGGCAGAAAGACCACCTGAGCCCAAGAGGTCAAGGCTCCAAGTGATCCATGAGTATGCCACTGCACTCCAGCCTGGGTGACAAAGTGAGACTCTGACTCCGAGAGAGAGAGAGAAAGAGAGAGAAGAAATTAGAGGTATGGGCAATTCTTTTAAAGAAATGTGCAATAAAGGGAAGCAGAGAAATGCAGTCCGAGCTGGAGAGGACTATGACGGGAGAAATCAGAGCATGTTTGTTGGTGGGAATGACCTAGAAGAAAGGGGTAAATGAAATAAGGGAGGACAGAGCCAATTGTCAATCACACAAGAAAATAGAAGGGAACAGTGTGACCTAGTTAATGGGTTTACTTAAAAAGATTCTCAATGCAATATTTTAAATAGATTTTAAAAGTCCATGTAAGTTCTGAAACTAATAAGCATCCATGAACTTACCACCCACTGCAAGAACTAGACCACCGCCAATCACATCTGTGTTCCTCCCTCCCCTACCCCTGCCTCTCCCTAAGAAGGAAGCAACTTTCCTAAATTGTGTTATTATCACTTTCTTGTAAAACTGTATTCTCTTCACTATATCGTGTTATATTTATTGTCTGATAGATCAAGGATAATCTCACCTCTGCCTCCCAACCTGGCTTCTTACAGACATCAAACCACCTGAATCAGACAGTATCATGAAATTCCTCTCTTGGGAAACTGCCAGGAGGGGGGACACACCCCATCAACAGGGGTACCTGCATAATGAATATACCTAACCCTGAATTGTACCCCATATCTTTAAAATAAAAAAAATTTAAAAGAAATTCCTCTCTTATATTTAACCTGCCATGCTAAATTTCCATTTTTTCACCTTCTATCTCCAGCTGCTACTGCTTTACCTGAAAAATATTTTCTTCTGCACAAAGATCATATTATTCATTCTTGTCTGTATTATTTACTCTACATGAAAGCAAGAAGAGTCTAGCACACCTTCTTCCCATGTGCATGCACAGAACAGACCCTAGTGGCCAGAACATTCTTGTTATCCTGGAAGCTGCACCTGCAGCCCTCAAGTCTCCAGTTTCTCTCTCCCATCCTAAGGCACACCTTGTTTGTGCCTATGCTGATATTGGCAGTCCCTCCACAAAGACCACAGGAAGGCAGGCAGTGGCCAGTGATTAGGCCTTTTCATATCTAGATCTTGCCCATGGAACAGTGGTCATCCCCATATCATCCAGGATTCTCCAGGTATGCAAAAACCTGCAGGATTTTGACAAATGCCAGCAGAGTAGGCTCTTTACAAATGGATAACAGCAGGCTGTGAAAAGCCCTCTGCATACATAAACCAAAATCCTGTTCCCCCACTTGCTCACTGATGCTTGAAATTGCTTTAGGGAGAGACAGTGACTTTCACCTCACAACTAGAGAAAACTGTGAAGGCCCTGGGTGAACGAACTCATTGTTGTAGACTAATACACACACAACTGCTTTAATGGACTGAAGGAGTGAATGATGCAATGAGCACCTTAAAAATGGGTGTGAAGTGACTAGGGGCATAGCAGAGAAAGATGGGGATTTTCTTGCCTCTCTGGGTGCCTAAAAAAGAAGTCATGAAATCAGAAGACTTAAAGCCAAATTGGGCCCTTCCATGAACTGTTTGACCACAGACAGTCTGTTTCTTATTTCTAAAATGTAGGTGATATCTACCTTCAGAGAGACTTTGAGATGCCATTGTGATTGTAAAAGCATAGTGATCACATTCTACACAGTAAATATTTTCTATCTTTCCCTGTTGTCCCCAGACATTTTGGCTTCTATTCCTATCCACTCCAGTGCCATCCCCTTTCTTGGCATTATAGAGGTTAAGAGTGAGGAATCTGGAACCAGCAAATTGGGTTCAAATCCTGACTCTATCACTTGCTGACTGTCATCTTGGGCAAATTATTTAACCTGTGCTCAGTTTCGTCTGTAAAACAGTAACGTACTTGCCTCGTGGGGTGACTATAAGGATAAAGTTAGTTCTTATGCGTAATGCACTTAGAGCAATTCTTTGTGGGAATTGTGTGTGCGCGCGCGCGCGCACACACACACACACACACACACACACACACACACTCCAAGAAGTGTTTGTTACAATTATCCCCAAAGGTTTCCCCTCACCTGCCCACTTTCCACGAGCCAAAAGATCATTTTAAGCCCCACTTTGTTCTAACCTAAAAAAGCCCACTGTGAATTGCTACACATTACCTCGGGTGACCTAATGCCCCTTCCCCATCCTTAACCCGTCAGGCCATCTGGGACTTCAACCACAAGCAAAACCAGAAGCAGTTTTTAGTCTCCCATCAATGCCCCAGTGGAAGCCTGGGAACTCGCGGCAGGAGGTGGTGGCTTGGGGGAGGGCAGGCGGGGCGCGGCGCGGCCTGCAGCTACAGGCTAATTTTTGATTTATTGTATAGATGAGGTCTCGCCAAGTTGCCCAGGCGGGTCTCAAACCCATGGTCTCAGGCCATCCACTCACCTCAGCCTCCCAAGGCGCCGGATTACAGGCTGAGCCACTGAGCCCGGCTGAATCTTTTCTTAAATTAATGTCTGTCTTCAGGATGTTGATAATGGGGAAGGCAGTGTGGAGGCAAGCAGTACATGGAATCTCCATACTTTCTACTCATTTTCCTCTGGAAAATAAACTCTATTACAGCAAAGCAATGGAAAAATTTTAAAATAGGGGAAAAGATTTAATACCATTGTTTAAATTTGCATGTAAAATTAACTGAGATATACACACGCACACACACACACAACTAGCATCTGTCATCTCACCGAACTCTCTTGAAAATACTAATTTATGTTATAGTCTTAATAGTGGAA